AATCTTTAATTGAGATTGATCATTACGAAGATCGCCCAGTCTAACTACACAGTATATCACCCAGAAAACTATTGGTATTTCATTGCAAAATCCATTGTGAAATTCACAAGCATGGGTCATGTTCTCCTATAAAAGGTCTGATCTCTATTCACTCATTCTTAACTTCCTGTATCCAGTTTAATCCCCCATAATACACCTAACCAAAGATCAGAGTGTATCAACAGTTTTTATCTTATTTTAAGGCCTCCTACCTGAACAACAGTTCCAAACAGTAGCTTGTGTGAACAGATAAGGGGTTTTGCCTTGGGGTAACCTGTTTTAGATGCTATCTCTGTTTTATTTCAATTACGTCCGTGATCACAGGGGCTCTCTTGGTGTGATAACAAAGCATCTGACAGCTTATCCCTACGGACCAGCCTCCATCTGATGTCATCCGAGGTTAAACGTCCACACTGATGAGGCACTCCTCAAAGCCACACTGCACTGGCTTTGTACGGTTAGGCTAACGGGAAGATTAAAGAGGACAGTGTGACTTGTTGGCAGCTCTCTGTAATTGCAAAAGAGTGGAGTTGCACTGTATTTATTCACTGTACGGTTTGACTCTGTTGCCTAAGGTATGGATCAGAAAGCAACAAGTGTACTAACTCGTAAGTTGGTACACAAACTCTACATTTATGAGCTTTATGACATAACTTTGGCATCACATATAAATCTATAACTGCTTAAATTGATCCAAACATTCAGATTAATGTCATGTTGATGGCCAAAAAAGGTTAGAAAGAAGGACAAGCATCTTTGCCCAATAGGTTGCCATGATTGTTTTTTGTTTTGTTTGTTTTGATGCCTTCCACAATGTTCAACCAGGACCCAATCTTAGGTTAACTCCGCCCCATCGCTACACAATAGAGTTTGTGAACTCACGAGAAAGTATCACGGGAATCGATCATTAAGGTTTGCACTTGATGAAACGACAAGGTATCTTCAGGCCGCTCCACTTGAGTGACCATTAGATAAAGTGGTACGCAGTATGGCTCTAGTCTCAGCTCATGCAAACAGTATCAACCTCAGCTAATGCTCTTTGGTAACCCTGACACAGCCGTAGCAGACATGATAGGATAAAGACCACCCCCCTCGGTACCTTTTAAGGAGGGACGCGATGCCGGCTGGATACTGGCACCCCTCGCTGTGTTTGCTGGTAATGAGTGGCAGCTAATGAACGCCACCTCATGCCTCGACAGGCCTGGAGCTGCGCCGCATGCTGGTGGCTACATGTCTGTGAGATGAGAGGAAGTAAGCCATAGAGGGCAAGAGGGGGGCAACCACGGGGGGTTGTCATTCCTCAAACAGCCAGGCGATGATGTTTGCAGCCCCTTGCGATGATGTTTGGAACCGTCTTGCACAATGAGGAGTAGCTCGTGCTGTAGAGAGGTGCGCATTCGAGATAGATACTGTAGATACTTTAAGTCACTTGTAGTTACTAATGACCTGCACTAGGACTGAAGAACCAGCAATTTTTTAGTGTATTTAATTTTATCCTGCACAGACTATACTTTTAACCGTAACACTTTGTACACTTCTGTCTTTTTGCACAATTTGAGTGATTCTATTTATGCCAATGCGACATGTAAATTTCTTCATTATGAGATCAATAAAGTTTATCTTATCTTGTCTTGTCTTGATGATCCCCCATAGGAGAAATTCAGAAGTTTCTAATTGAAGCCTCATGAACCGTTCAAGGCTTTCAGACAATTGCACCAAAACAAGTGTCCGTGCTTCAGGAAACATATCATTTGCTCCATCACTCAATCTTTGATTGTGCACATTGTTCTGACAAAAGTGGAAGGCGCAACATGTCAATTATTACTGACTGTTTTGTCTGTGCACGTGCTCTACCCTACGGCGTCTTCATGTATACGTCTCAACCACACGTAAACATAGAGGACGGACAAACCAAGCGTGCGGATCTGGCGCCGCATGAAGTGAGACAAACGCCTCACTGTGCGTACGTGTAGCTGTCTCCATTAACGTTTTACGCTGGTTGAATGAAAAGCGTGTGAAATTAGCATGTTTGACCTCTACGTACAACAAAATCGCATGCATGGAGGCCTTTGTGATTGGCCGGTAGAATTTTGGTTTGAGTTGGAATTGCAATACATTTGATTGAATATTTGATGCTCAAACTACAAGCTGTACTTTTAGGTCTAGGGGACTAAGAATATGAATCTGTACAATTACAAACAACATTTTTACTCAAATGTATGTTGTTTATTCAAATCCAATGTGCAACTCTAGAGGTTAATTGTGCGAATGAACGATTTACACAATTTTTTACACAATTTATTCTTGTATAGCCCTAGGTCACAACAGAAGTCATCTCAGAGGACTTAACAAAACCATTGAAATCACCAACACAGGTCAGAGAATCAACAGTTAAAACACATAAAAAATATAAAGCACACACAGAAGAAAATGTCCATACATGTTGTAGAATGCTAAAGTGTCCTGATCATCACCAATCCTTTCTGTTGGACACTAACTGTCCAACAAGACCCTCCTGCATCGACAAGGAAAAACTCTTAAAAAACCCAGTGGGAAAAAGTGAGAAACCTTGGGGAGCACTAGGGAAACCCACAGGGAGGGAGACCCATATGAGAAAGGGATCCGCTCCTCCGGACGGACAGGCTAATGATCTAGGACCTAAGCTAGCTACAGAACGTGGACCAGTGGCCGCTGAACGTGGACAGGTCCGGTGCAGGACTGAAGCACTCCCAGGCGGGTCGGGCGGGGCAGTCCGCAGGTGTAGATGGAGGAGGCCAGGCTCAGAGATCCCGTCATCGTTACAATGAAAAAGGCAATGGGACAACGGGTGAATAGCAATGAACAAACTACAGTCAGAATCCTACAAGTGTTAAACAGATAAAGTAGATAAAGTAGGAAGGGGGAGAGGATAGTGCTCAAGTTACCATACTTCTCCCAGCAAACTGACTCCCTATGCAGCTTGACTGACACTCTGAGGAGTTTAGCCTTCCCCGAGTCTTACCTTCCTAGCCATATGCTAAACTAAAGAGGACTGTTTTAAACCTAGCCTTGAATAAAGAGATTCATGGATTGCACACCAGGTGTGCAAACCGATCCAAGCAAACCCAATTATATATTATATATCATATACATCACATATACCATACATACCATATATATCATATGTAATACACAACATAACATACAGCATAATATATAACATAATATACAACATAACACAATACATTATTGTATAATATATAACATAATATATAACATAATACAGCATATATATATATAATATATACACCATATTTTATATATTACCTAATTATATGCTAAATTAAAGTAAAGTGCTTTAAGCCTGGCCTTGAATGTGGAGACCGTATCTGCTTCCTTAACATAAATGGGAAGCTGATTCCACAGTAAAGGAGCTTGGTAGCTAAATGTTCTGCCACCAACAGTGACCTTTGAGACCTTAGGGACCACCAGACGTCTGGCGTTTTGTCAGCGCAACGCTCGACTTGGTTGATACGACACTAACGTGTCTTGGAGATAAGAGGGAGCCAAGCCATTTATGGCTTTATATGTTAAGAGAAGGATTTTAAACTTTATTCTGTACTCCACAGGGAGCCAGTGGAGTGATTTTAACACCGGAGTTATGTGCTCCCTCCTTTTGGTACCTGTTAAGATCCTAGCTGCTGTATTCTGAACGAGCTGGGAAGCTCTTCAAAGAGGCTTTAGGGCACGCTGCCAATAAAGCGTTACAGTAGTCGAGCCTTGAGGTGACAAACGCGTGAATGAGTTTTTCCGCGTCACTTTTAGGAAGGAAATTCCTAATTTTAGCGATGTTCCGTAAGTGGAAGTACGCCGTTTTAGTTGCTTGGCTTATATAAGCCTTGAAGGAGAGTTCTTGGTCAAAAATGACTCCAAGATTCCTCACAGTGTTACTGGGTATTATACTGACATTATCGAGAGTAATTATCTGGTTAGTGAGGGTGTCACGCAGGCGCTTCGGACCGAGTAGGATCACTTCTGTCTTCTCCGGGTTGAGAAGTAGGAAGTTAAGAGTCATCCACATTTTAAGGTCCTTTATGCAGGCACTGAGCTTTTCTAGCTGATCTGTCTGATTAGGCTTCATCGACAGATAAAGCTGTGTGTCATCTGCATAGCAGTGGAAATTAATTCCATGCTTTTTAATAATGTTTCCCAATGGCAGCATGTAGAGAGTAAAAAGAATCGGTCCGAGTACCGAACCCTGCGGCACACCGAATTCTACTCCAGAATAAGGTGACGAGTTCTGATTTACGTTGACGAAGATTTCTTGAACCCCCACAAACTAAAACATCTTCTCAGAAGTGAGTCTCCTTGGTATTTGGCAATTAATTGAATCCATAGTTTTATTTAAAACTTAAATATCTCAGAAGTAGCCTGAACCCAGAACGGGATAATTATTTAGAGCCGAAAGGGGGAATTCTTGGAGTGAGTAAGACTTGGATTTGGGAGTGAAGCCCCAGAAAGACGAGTTCAAATAAATATTTTGTCAAGCAACAAAATTCAGATAATATTATATATTCAGATAATAACGGGGTTTTGGGACTGGTGCTATGAGCAATGGATGGCGGCTGTGATTGTCAGCCCCCGACCCAGAAATGGATTGATAAAGGGGAAGATAATGAATTAATATTTTTTTTAGGTTAAATAAAAAACATTAATCCTAACAATAATTAAGTTTTGGCAGCCGTTCTTATTTATCTATTCCCAAACAGAGATAAAGATAGAGATGTGCCATATTGTGCCTCAAGCAGTCCTTCCCCGTTCATACTAATCTTAATTCTCCTCTCATCCTCTTGTTTGATTGTTTACGCACGTCTTTGTGAGATAAATGCCAACAGGAGGTGAAGAGAAGCCTTTTGAGTAATCTTGAGGTCAGACGCTGCTCTGCGGGCTGTTAATGCATTTTATCTCTTACTGTTTTGCAGCCACCGAGACCTGAAACCAGAAAACTTGTTGCTAGATGAAAAGAACAACATCAGGATAGCGGACTTCGGCATGGCGTCGCTTCAGGTTGGAGACAGTCTCTTGGAAACCAGCTGTGGGTAAGTAATCACACAATCTACTGCGGCGAGACTGTAAGGGACAAGAAGAGCGCACGTATATAAATCAGAAATGTGAAGATCTCAGGGCCGCTGGCAGGTGTCAGGATCTCAAAGCCTGCGATGTGCCAGGGTCCTGGTGTTTGAAAGGGGGAGTGTGTGGTGTCTCTCCAAAGTGTGATATCAGGCTGGAAGCAGAGCCAGGGCCTGGACAGACGTACTGTTCTCTTCTCAAATCTCTTATGATCTACGGGACATACTCACGACAGAAAAAAAAGCATTGTTGTGTTGTACATGCAGATAATATTAATTAATGTATTATATGTATTATTATTATTGGGTAAATTGCAATAGCACCTCTATACAATTCATTACTAAAAGAGGATATTTTACATTTTTATTGTTGATTTGACATCAATAATCTAAATGACACGCATAAAAAAGAATAAATACATTTTTTTTGTAATTTCATTTATACAGTTTTTTCTGTCTTGCATTTCACTAAATAGTGTTTAATCCTCGACAAAACCAGAAGAATAAAGCAGGGGAGAAAATGGATTAAAGAGGAGCAAGAATGGTTTAAATCCATTTGAACTTTGAGAAAATGAAGCCTTATCCGATGTAAATGCACCTGTATTTCAACTTTCATCACTGCTCGCAGATTTAACAGGCCCTATTGACATTTATCTGCTGTTCTGGCCTGATTCCCCCAGATTACTCCTCTGAATCAGTGGCTTTAAATTACAGATTGCTGAATACACTCTTTGCCGCAGTTATACGGCTTGGCTTAGTTCCTCTGACCTTGCAGACCCATTGTCCTGAGTTGGGGAGCCTGTGTTTCCATCTCCCGCTGCATTCAATAACAGTAACAGTCTGTCGTCAGCACTTATTTAGAGTCTGGGCCGAGCTGTCTTTGCCTGTTTAAGCTAATAAGGACACTTCAAAGAACGCACCATTAATCTTTTGCCCATAAATTGAACGTACCAACATCTCACTGTTACCGGTTCCTTACTTAACAATTAACTTTAAAGCTTTGTTGGCTAATTTTCAAACAGGGAAGTTTAGAAATGAGTTAATTCACATCTCACTTGTACAATTTTCTTTTCCCCACACATCAGGGTCAGGGTGGATATTACCTTTGAGCAAAACACCTCTTTGCACAAAGCGTCACATAGGGACTCACATGGCTCTTTCTTACAAATATGTAATTTTTACAATATTTTCTATTTAGTTAACAACTTAAGCTAAATTATTCTTCTTTCTATTACAATATACTTTTGAGGATGTGTAAAGAAGAAGGTCAACATTCCATTGAAGAGAATATGTCATTTCCCCCAAACAAAGACATTAACAAGTATGTTAAACCTTTAAAAATGTCTTACTCCATCAATCAGCAGCGTGTCATACATAATAGAAGCCTCTAGAATGTTCCCTGTCTACCATTTGCCTGTCTTTATCCTGCAGTACATTACTCCCCTGAGCGCATTCGCTGAAGGCACTTGTTGCAGTGCAAGCTGCCGAGATCTTCACTTTCTCTCCCCGTCATTTTCTGTTTTTATCTGTTCTGCCGACGCTGTGCCTCTAATAGACACATAGATAGATACAAACCGGAGATGTTTGCGCCCCTAAATGCCAGCGCTAAATGCCTGTGAACGTCCATATGCTGTTTCTGTAGTTATTGATTATTCATGCTTCTCCGCACGTCCAGTCTCTAAGTGCAGATATGACAGTTTTTAATTAAACACATTTATCTGGCACGCTCCTGCCATGCACCAGGCTGACACAAATGTATTCAGTTTGCCACAGGTAATGGAGCAGAGTGGAGATGAAGCTATAGCAGTACTGGGAACCCTAATCGTGTTTATTCCTATAGACATGGCTATTGACACATAGAGCGAAACATAGCCAAGCGCTCCATCTGTCTGTGTCGTGGTGGGCAGCTGTGAGCTCACCCCTCGCTGTTGTTTGATTAGTTCAGTGGTAATGACTGAAGAGAGGAAATTAGCCTGCATGTTGTGACAAGCCTCGCCTATTTGGGGGAACAGGACTTGTTGACGACATGTAATATATTTGAACGACTGCCAAAAGAGATGTGCTCCGTGTTGTTGTTGTTGCCGTGTTGGGTAAAACTCATTTATTCAAACTTTAAAGATTCAAGAGCAAAACATAAATCTTACTCTTAAAAGTTGGGGTACCTAACTTTGAAATCCATCTAAGATAAGATCAAATATACTTTATTGATCTCACAATGGAGAAATTTACATGTCACATTTTGCGTAGAGGAAGAGAAAGAGGAAGTGTGCAGACAGGAAATGTGCAAAAATGTTAAAATGTGAACAGATATTTTGTATAATTAAAAATAAAAGTGACTACAGCAGTGCAACTAACTAATTCCATGCTTTTAAAATAGTTTGGTTTTATGACTAGTTGTTACATGCTTGTCCTTAGATCTGCTTCTTCAGACATAACAGTGAAAAAGAGAGGACCGCCCTTCTCTCAGCCAATCAACTCTCATCCCAAAGCCTCAAATAGTGACTGACAGGGCTTGTTTTTCTCCATGTGCAAAAGATTAAGAAGACAAAAATAAAGAGCGCTTGTTGTGGTCTTAACATTTTACTTTTACAAAACTCTTTCCGTTATTTATTAAAAAAGTTGGGTACCTCAGCTTTAAGTGATCATGAATTTACACTTCCCTACTTCCATTTGTATTCCAGTGGCACATTTTTGCACTCCTAAATCATAGTTAATAGACCACATGTCATATGCGTTCACTTGCACATTGCATTAACCAACTGTGATCAATCACACGACTTAAATGCCAAAAAGCGTATAAATTTACAGAGTTCTTCCACGAATCAGGTGGCTGTAAAATTAGTGTGATCCTTTGGGGAACTGTGTTTCTGCTTCGTTGATATATTCTTGATTCGTAGGTAATACTTCAGATTTAGCTTGGACAGTTTCATAAATTAGACCCTTCAAACGCTGTATCGCAAGCTTTTTCAATCTTGATTTTTATTTTTTGTGCACATTCTTTTACAATTGTGTTCTGATTTTGACCAACTATAGTTTCCCCCTTCCTCACTCTGAAAACACGTGTGCCTCTACCCAAAGACATATTTGGTAAAGATGATGTAAACACGGCTGAGGGAACTCTGCTCTCGCCGTGATCAGTGCTGGGTTGAGACTAAATGAGCTTTTGCAAACAGCGGGCGGGAGACTGATGTTGTGTCGGCCCACGCACAACTGTTCCTCAAAAAAGAGCATTTTTCACAGCGGTCATCGGAAAGTGCCACTTATCGCTTCCTATTTATCTCCACTATCCACTGTCTGTCTGTAACGTGGGATTCTTACGTAACAGATTGTGCTTTAGCTTCGCAACAGAATATTGTCCAGAAATGACTGCAACCATTCAAACTTAGAACAACTTTATTTCAAGGTTGTTCATTGTTTGCCTCAGAAAATTATTTTGTATAAAGACAGGGTTGACTGGGCTTTTCTGGTTCTGATGCTGCATCAGTGGTCGCTTATCTCCACTTCTCTGTGTGAATATATCTTTCTGTTTACTTTCCCTCACTGGGGAAATGCCCCCCCCCCCCCCCCCCCCCATTCCACGCAATATTCCAAATCAATATGATACCTTCTCTTCAAAAGGACACATAAACGACTTAATGCAGGGGTATATATTTTAAACCGCATACATGTCTTTTTGGCTGGACAGATTACTGAAAAAGATAGCAACACCCCTTCTCACCCCATAACTTTAAAATAGTGACTTGCATATGGCTCAAAAATAATAGGCTATTCTAATAAGTTTAAGACAGTATGTTGCTGTGGTCTGATATGAACCTTTTTCTTTCATGAGACTTTTTCTATTGGGGCAAATGTACGACTTATGGGAGAGAGAAAAAAGTTATCTACCACAGCTTTAAAGGGGATCCTCATTGACAACACAGTGAGCTACATTACAGATATCATTACAGAACAAGTTTTAGCTTTTCCTATATATATTTTAGAGTAGTTTAACATGCCATGTATCAAGCTTTTTGTGGCAATTTAACAACCACGGTATCATAGCTTTGCATGATCTTCTACTTACTTTATTTCCAAACAAGATGAGATGTCACTGATAGTTAATATTTTCAGTGCAACTTAGATATGGCTGACTAATTTAATTTGTAATCCTGATAAATTGGGACTCGGATCTCTGCTTTCCCTCTATCCAATAACTTTATGTGCAAATAATTTGTTTATAATGATGCAGGATCGCAGTGTGGAGACGCCACAGCGAGCAGCAGTCTCTGGCTCCCCCTTCTCTCCTTCCTCACTCATCTGCATAATGCACTGCGACACATGCAATCAGGAGGGTGTTATTTGCATGGGCTCACGCTTGAACTTGCCCTGTTGGCACTGTTTGTTATGGGCTAGTATTTTGACAGCCTCCGGAGAAGAGCAAGGAACATCAGGGAGTGCCATCCATGAGCGGGCGAGACAGGCCGAGCTAATGCCTGCATGTTTACACACCTCAGACAAAAACCTCATTAGTGACACGTATCCCGCCATTATGGGAGGTTCAGAGGCAAAGACAGGTTCAGGACCTCGGCCCAGTCAGACAGAGGAGCCTCATGTCTGCTGTCGTATAAGCACAGTCTTTGTAAATGTGCCACTCAAAAAGGAAAGATAATAGCTTTGGTACAAAATTTGGTCAAATATTCATTCTTAAATACATGACGTTATAATCCTATGCTAAATTCTGTACAATAGAATGTTGACTCTAAATTTTTTATTTATTTCACTTTCAACACTAAACTTACCCACGACTTCATACAAGGTAGCTCTGACAAAACTTTTGGCAAATTCAAAGGTTCATACATGTATGCATTCCAATTTTTCCAGGTTAACAATTTGTAGACCTGTTCCATTGCCGTCCTTCAGTGACTCAAATTGGTGCCCATTCCATTTTCTGGTTATGTTTTAAAGTTTTCCTTGTAATAATGTGTTTTTAATGAATTTATTAAGTCATTCCTCATAATTTCATATTCAAAATTAGGCTATTTTGGGTTTGATTTCAGCAGAAGTTGTTAAGACTTTAGCCTCAATCATGGTGACATTGTTTTGACCCTTAGCCTACACATTGGGCCTGGACACACAAACAGACGTTCCTTGCTTTTATAAATAGATATAAAACGCTTAATACAATTTCATACCGTATTTACCGATGATCACCTTCCTCCATCTGCAAAACACCCCAAAACGACCTGTTGTTGAAGCTACTATTAAACCATGATGGCCCTTAATGTTTTTCCCTTGATCAATTCGTCATCCCTCCCACCAGTATTGCCCCTCTTCACTCTGACAGCCACTGGTCTTTGACGCTCACCAGTCGTTGCTCCTTACAGTAAATCTCAAGATATATTGATGTCAATGGTGGGTGTCAGTGGAGTCACCGGCCTGAGCTGTCAGTCTCCCATGTGCCGCAGATATACCGTGAGAGACGCGGTGCCCTTGAGTGGGCTGAGGGGGAGGACACGCGCACGACTCTGGCACGTCTTGATCTATGCTCTGCGGACACATTTACTGGCTACCTAAATTGTTCTTTTATGCAGCGGAGTGTACCTTGTCCTGACTTATTAACTCAAACAATATAAAATTCTCTCAATAATTTATGGCATTCTCTTTCTATTTCACAGATCTCCGCACTACGCCTGTCCAGAAGTCATCAGGGTGAGTTCTTGAGTACAGTTCATGTAATTAATATTTTCTTTCTCTGTCGCTTATGTTCCCAAACTGTGATTTTTGTGTTACCTGCAGGGAGAGAAGTACGACGGGAGGAAAGCAGACGTGTGGAGCTGCGGGGTCATTCTGTTTGCTCTCTTGGTGGTAAGTGGATGAAACAATAGGATTGGAGTTATCAAAGTAAAGCAAGAAAGGGGTTTGACATAGAAGCATCTTTGTTGGGTCCCATATAACAGTGACATCATTCGTAACAGTGAAATAGACTTTATAGCTGACTAAAACTTCCCCATTCCCACAGTCCTGTCTAAAACCCATACGGTGCGCCCTGGAGCTGCTCACTGTAGCACAATAAAAGATCAGACAACACATCGTCTTTTATTCATTCTCTTGTATTGGGCTCTGTATCCATAATGGAGTCAACATTACCTGAGTGGTTTAGCCCTGCAGCCTTGTTTCTGCAACAGCTGGGCCTTAGTCCCACTCCCATGAATAATTCAAAGAGAAGGAAACGGGCCCAAAATATACGACACTCAAGATTCTGACCACAGGCTCTGTTCACTTCCCTCACTGTGTCACTTTGTTTGGGCAAGTCGTGATTTTGACAAAACGGGTTTGTTTGCAAAAGGATATGTTTATTCTCCTAAGGCTGTGTTTGTGTACAGTTTTGCTTAAAAGTGTACACTCGCAACCAGAGTTATCATTGTGTGGTCATATTTGGGAGATTATGATGATTATTAATGATTTTTACTTATTGTTAGTGGTTGTGTGAAGCCATGTGCAGTTTTCTCAAATAAACCTATGTTCTGTTTTCACATAAGGCGGTCCAAACATTAAGAACTTTTAAAAACACAAAAGGAGTGAGTGCACACAGGGATCAAAAAATATAATACAGAGTGAACGTGAGAAGTCAGGTGCTCTTCAAGGATCCGTGGGAAAGTAATGTATCTAGCAAAAAGGAAAAGGTCCAAGGCACTCTGACTGATTTATAAGTTAAGTCAGAGTGCCTCGGACCTTTTCCTTTTTTTGCTAGACACATTAAGAACCTTTAGCCTACAAGAATGGGCAGCTTTAGCATCAGAGAGGACGAAGAACCTCAAACTACCTCAAAAGACTCTAAGTTTGTTAAAGGGGAAATACATGCCATAGGGAAGTCCTCATTCAACAAAATTCACATCCACGAACAGGTACAACTGGATCATGCTGAGTGAGTTCTATGTTGAGTTTTTAAATAGTATGTTGCAAAAAGGGGAAATAACTTGTATATGCTTATGTTGAAAAGAGAGACTTAGTTAAAATGCTGTCATTGAGGTCCAAAATATAAAATTAAATGCAGTCCTACATATCTCAGGCCATGTTTTTTTGAACCTTCAGCTTGATCAGACATTGCTATTGTCCGTTTTGTTGAATGTTGTGGTCTGACACAGTCAGGCCCGTCCCGAGAGGGGTGCGAGGCCCTGTGCGAACTCGAAACGCGAGGCCCTGCCCTGACACTTTTTTCCCAGATCTGAGGAAAGTTTTTCCTGTTATAATCTTTGACATGAATTCAGCACCACCTCGCGCGGTGCTTGACGAGATCAGCACGCGTGTAACCGAGTGTCTTCGCTCCTATGCAGCGTTTGGCGCGCGCACGTACACACGCACACACACTCTACGTGCAATATTGGTCGCGGTCTTTTTAGCTGACATGTCTCTTTCGTCCTGTGGCAAAATGGTAGAGCAACTCAAAAGATTGAACCAAAAGGAGTCTTTTTCTTCTAATAGTTAGATTTTGGCAAAATGCGCCAAAATGGCTATGAGGCGGAGTCAATATTATTTTTTTCTCATCAAATAACGTTTTTGCCATGCCTCCACACACTCTGACAACATACACTCCTCCTCCACACACTCTGACCACAACAAAAACACTCCAGCTAGCTAAAGCTAGACATACAGTGTGTTTGCTAATGCTTTTAAAAATATGTTTTTGATGTGGATATTCGGACTAAACATTGGCAATAGCAGCGCTCACACACCTGTCACACCGCTGATCCTCCTCCTCCTCCTCTGCTCACACAAAGGGGTCTGCTCCTCTGCTCACACCTGTCTCGCTGCTCCTCCTCCGCGAGTATCCATCTCTCCTACACTGCGATCATTCCCGTTACTTTCTTTGTATCTCACTCAGACACTGCTAAAGTTATCTGACAGTTTTTTCGGAAGACCCGTTGCATACATAGCTGCCCGCGCGCCTGCCTGTTTACAAATCGCTTTTGGTGAAAATTTGACTTTACTTGTAAAAATGTTCTTTTGATCAAACGAAATCAAAGAGGTCCAGAGAAAGGGGTTTAGGGTTCCAAATTCGGAGTGCAGTCTGCCCTTTGGGGACCCTTGAACTAGTGTATTTATAAAATAAAATAAAAGGAAGGAAGATTGCGAGGCCCCTGTGTGGTGCGAGGCCCTGTGCGACGGCACAGGTCGCACAGCCCTTAGGACGGGCCTGGACACAGTTACGTGAACAAGACTTTCTATTGGTGCAAACAAAGTAATTAGGAAAATGAAAAAAAAAGTATACAGAGTAACCCAGTTCTAACTCTGGATCCAAACATAGTGACTTTATACTTATCCGTCTTCCTCCTAGTGCACACTCTCCGTCAGAATGTGTCTTTTTCTTGCCTCGCTCTTCTTCCTGTTTGGTCCTGCTGTCTGGCTCCGAGATAACCATTTGTCTGATTGCGAGAGACGCCCGCACTCCGCAGCAGTTTGGCTCCGCTCAGATCATCTGTTACACAAGGCTCTTTTGCCTCTGTAACTCTCCCCATTTCCCTCCCTCCTTCTCCCTTCCTCTTTTTTTTTGTTTTTTTTTTACATTTTTACTTTTTCCTCTACGCTTTCCCCCTCGTACGTCTTGTCTCGTGCCGGAGCTTGTCATTCGTCAAACAGCCACATCTGTGAGGTGTCAGCTTGCAGTGATAGATGAGAGAATGCTAAATGAAGGAGGTAAATTAGAAAACGGGTTAATTATTAGAAGGGAAAAAAAGACCGGTTTCTGCTTTGGAACTGTTTATTATTTATTTACAGCAGCTGAGGGCAAAGCGCTCTAATTAGGGACTTGAGCAAGTTGAGAAATGGCTTTGGAAAGACTCCAAACGAAGGTTATTTTCTCTCGACAAGCCTTGTTAACTGTGTTGGCTGGTTTTTTAACTCTTCTAGTCTATATTTATGTGTCTTTTGTTAATCACTTTGCAGGGAGCGTTGCCGTTTGATGATGACAACTTGAGAAATCTTCTGGAGAAAGTGAAGCTCGGGGTGTTTCACATGCCACACTTCATCCCTCCAGACTGCCAGAACCTGCTGAGGGGGATGATCGAGGTGGACGCCACAAAGCGACTAACGGTACGCACCATTTTCAGTTCAAGGCTGTAACTGCAGTGTACATAAACATGATTGAGGAGATGTGTAATGTTTAAAATAAATAATTTTGTAAGGGCCACCGCAGAATTGTATCGTAATGTAAGAAGGTATTTTTAATTTGCCAAATATAATACACACATACACACACGCTCACACACAATCAATTTCAATTATATCTCAGATTCAAATAGGAGTCTTGTCTAATTAGCAATTAAACAGTCCATTTATTATTTCACCAATCTTTCAATATAGATAATGACGTACTAAAGTCCAACATGACATCAACACAGAATTATACGCAAGAACATCAACAGGTATTTTGCTGCAGTTTCCTCATAATTATCCACGCAGGATTGACAATAATTGGTTTAGTAAAACGTCAAGCCAACATGTGGAGGTCTCTCTACTCTATGCAATGATGGTGTAACTCAAATGAAGCTTATATTCTGTCAGATTTAAGCTCCATCTTTTTCAATATTGGTCGGTCTTTTACGCAATCCATCCATTCAGAACCTATGACCTGCTCTTGATCCAGGCGACTCACGTACGCCTGAATCAGTGCATTTTTGTGTGAGAAACTGCTAACAATGTTGTGAAAGCTGCATAAACCCATTCAAATGTTTTCTCCAGCATCCTTTAAAGACGAGACATTAGGTCCTCGTAAGTCAAGGCTGTCAAGGGAATCTTTACCGCGATGTGCCGGATCTAGTATGAAATGAAATACACTAAGTTAGAGTGAGTGAGAGTGAAGTTGTATTTCTTGGCAGGAATATAAATTGGATTTGCATTTGACTTCAAAACAGGGATTCAGATAAATATTAAGTTTTGATAAATTTTACTTTTTGTATCTCCTGATTGCTGATCAAAAGTTTTAGTAGTTGCTGATTACAAAAACAAAACTTATCTCTTATCTTAAGTATCTTGGCTGATAAGCGTTTATTGCTGGTAGAGCGTGGAGATGACAAAATAAGTAACTCAGGAACTCTTCTAAGCTAAAGCCAAGGAAGTTTAGGGAAAACACAGTAGCTAAACACAGACTGTGATACAACGAATCTGGGGCACTCTGAAGTTGAAATATAAAGTCCTTTGATGAAGCTAAAGGACCAACATATTTCAACTGATTCCTGTTTAATTGTATATATTTTTTTATTCTGTAATCGGGACATTACGTCACTGTCCTGTCATGTGACCTAGCTTCATAAATGACTTTTAGATTTAACTTCAGAGTACCTCAGATGCATATCTTCACTACCCATCACCGTCTTTGGCCTGTGTTTAGCTATATTTGACAAGTTCCCTAATCTTGTATATTTGTTTTCTTTCTCTCCATATAGGATATTTTTTTGTATGCATTGATCGAGTTTCATGTTTTAGTTGTACCTATTCATACGTTACCTTGGCAGTATTGGCAGGGTACACGGTAACTCTATAGAAAACATTGTGACCTTGAACATTTGCAGATGCACCCATTTCCGAGCATAAATAAATATGTGTTCTCTCTCCCAAACATTTGAAGTAAAGGATTGAGATTCAAGATAGGACCATTTCTCTCTTTTGTATTCCACGTATATATCCCAGACATATTCTTCAGTTGTGATGAGTGGAGGTCACCCTGAGATCGTGCAGATTGGTATAAATGCCTCCAGCGCTGTCCTCGACAAAGGGTTACTCAGTGACCGCGCAGCGAGGGCGGAATATGCTACCTGTCTGCCCCCATCTCCTCCCGACACACTGTAGCTCTGGGGAAGGAGTGTAACCTCGCAGAATGTCAAATACAACTGTTAGCCGGCATGTAAGTGGTGTTAAGTCGTGTCTGCCGTGTCACCGACGGCACGGGGACACCCAAAGCTGGAACTGACATCTTGAATAATGAATAATGTGTTCCAAATAGAAGGTCCTGGGTTCGGTTCCACCTCCAGACAGAGCTTTTCTGCTGTGGAGTTTGTAAGTTCTTCCTGTGTCTGCTTAGGTTTCCTCCGGGTGCTGCAGTTTCTCCTGTCACTAAAGACATGTACAATTATATAGGTCTGCACTTCCATCACTGTGTAGAGTGAGAAGACAAATGCCCACACAACTATAAAACGCTTTGTGACTGTGTTTCTGAAAGATGCTGTAGAAATAAATTACTTACTTACTTTACCCATTATTAATGTTATGAGTTAGTGTGCACTGTGTCAAAGGCCTCTGAACGCACATGAATTTCTTTATCAAATTAAATTATTTGTGGACTTTTGAATTACTAAAATAATCAAAAGCTGCAGCCAGTCATTAGCCTGGCCTTAGTCGTCCGTAAACTCTGCTCAATTGTCATTTCACTGCATGTAACGTCTGGGTCTGGTCCTTGTGTTAGAAAATTCAATAGGTTGAATTCCATCCGACCAATCAGCGAGCGCGGGATGCGGGTGCTTTAGTTAGTTGTGGGTGACGTCAAGAGTTTGCGTTGAAAGGGCAGGTTGTAGTTTGGTAATGGCGAAGAATGCGATAGTAAAGTAATCCGGTGTGGTTCTATCAAGAAATTGAAGCCGGAGCAAGGGTAATGTTTAGCAAATGTAATCGCTGGCAAAAATTGTGGCGCTACTTCCACAAGTAGCTCCATTAGCGGAAAAGGAGATGGCTAGGCTAAATGCTAAATGCTAATGACTCACTCGAGCGCATTACATACGTGACGGTAGACTCAGATCCAATCGTTTCAGCACCTCCAGACCTTAGTACGAAATGTAATTGTACTATTGTGTGGTACGACCAGGCTAGCCCGTCATCTTCATTTCCTATTCATCAAAACTTGTTGAGTCCAGATACCACCACAACAGTCCATTGTAAATCCAAAACACTACTTCATTTTGACTTACCTCCTGCATAACAGACCAATTATTTGAGTTTAACCGGACAGTTTAACATAGTGCACCGCATTCAAACGAACATCCTGCAAAGACCTGCCCTGTGTGAACTGGTGCTATAATGAAGTGGATCACAGAGCTATTATATTCAAAATCTGTTCATCACACAGACAGACTACGCTCAGGGGTTCCGTGATGTGAGTGCTGGTGATGTAAGCTGTTTCATGGAATCAAAAGTGTGTCCTCAAGAAAATAGTTGACCCCATTTTAAATCCCATATTGAAGTGCTTTTGATGGAAAAGGAAAAAGCAACATTCTCGTCTACTTTATCTGACATTTAGCTTTGCTTTTGTTTATGGGGTTATTTAGCCTTCAGCGTGTTTTCAAATTGATATTATCTTACAACATAATTTTCATAGCTTTCAAACCACAAAAATGCAATGACGTGATACAATCTATGTGACTAGTTCCTCGCTAGTTTTCAGATGTAAATTTGGTCTCTGTCACATCTTTAGATTGAGATTAAGAGATATTTTATACGTCCCACAGTGGGGAAACGTCAGTGTTGCGTCACAAATGACAGAACATTAGGAATGAGGAGCACACAGCACAAGATACATTAATAATAACTCTTTTACTAAAATAAAATTAAATGACATAATAAGGAACTACTTTATTTTACTACTTCCAACTTTAAGATAGATAAGTGAAAAAGCCAATCAGCTCATAGCCCAAACCATCAAATAATTACTCACAGGGCAGTATATTTAAAGGTATATAGGAGGATCCAGAATGATTGTCAATCATTCTGGTGATACGTGCTCGAGAGTTTTGTTTATAAAGTGAAGACAGCGGTTCTTTACAAAAAATTGGGAAAATCCTCCTATATAGTAGTAAGTAAGTAGTTGGACTGTAAGTAAGTAAGTAATGTTTATTTATATACCGCCTTTCACAGACCAGAGTCACAAAGCGGTTTACAATTGTTATTTTTTCTCTCACGCCACACAGAGATCTACGCAGACACAGTGAGAACAGGCAAACTCCACTCAGAAAGGCCCTGTTCCGACCGGGATTCAAACCCAGGACCTTCTTGCTGAGAGGCGAGAGTGCTATCCACTCAGCCACCGTGCCACCCATATATATTTACCTTTAAGTATATGTACTTATGCAAAGGATGTTTAGAGAGATATGCGTTAGTTAATTCATCAACAGCAAAAAAGCTTTTATCACCCGCATAGCAAAGTATGAGAAACAACCTGAGGCAATTTCAAGCCAAATAATAAATGGATAAATTTAGCTGTCTCACCATTTTGAAATTCCTCTGTCAACACATGTCCTTGCAGACTGAATAATAACAAGCTGTGAGGTTTTTAATGAAGTACGTCTAAATGACATTGCTGCGTTTGTGGTGTACAGATTGTGCGTATAATGAGCTATCACAAGTGCACCTGGACGCTTCCCTCTCCACAGTTGACGAGATGGACCTTTTATGGAGAGAGTGTCTGTGTGTGAGTGAAAGCGTCTGGAATTGCTACTGTCACATTTAAAGCCTGATTGATGTTTTAGTGCATTTCCAACTGCATCAGTCTGGAGCTAGCTGTGTGATATCGGGTCTCCTGCCTCCCGGCTTTCAATAAAATGGTGGAGAGAGTAGGTCACCCACTGGTCTGTATCTGACAGCCAGGGTGTCTCCGTCAATATCGTGACCTCTGTGGAAGTCACCTCTGATCTTCCACAGCAGCTAGTCAGGCTGACCATGTGACAGAGCATATGAAGACAGAGGAGGACTGTCCTCTGGAACTGGGGAACTTTAGGACAATAATAAGAGACACATGTAGGTAATGCTCTGTTTCTGAGGATGGAGATTTCTTGGATTGGAGAGATACAAGATATTTGTACCCAGTCCCAGAAATAACATCACTTATGTATACGCACACTTTGAATCATCTCAGAGATCATCCAATATATTGGTTGAAGTTGAAATTCCATCCATCCATTTTCTTCCGCTTCATCCGTTGCCGGGTCGCAGGGCAGCAGTCTAAGCAGAGACGCACAGACTTCCCTATCCACACACACTTCCTCTAGCTCGTCTGGGGGGACTCCAAGGCGTTCCCAGGCCAGCTGAGAGACATAGTCCCTCCAGCGTGTCCTGGGTCTTCCCCGGGGCCTCCTCCCGGTGGAACGTGTCCGGAACACCTCCCCAGGGAGGCGTCTAGGAGGCATCCGGAACAGATGCCCGAGCCACCTCAACTGGTTCCTCTCGACGTGGAGAAGCAGCGGCTCTACTCCGAGCTCCTCCCGTGTGACTGAGCTCCTCACCCTATCTCTAAGGGAGCGCCCAGCCACTCTGCGGAGGAAGCTCATTTCGACCGCTTGTATCCGGGATCTTGTTCTTTCGGTCATTACCCACAGCTCATGACCATAGGTGAGGGAGGGAACGAAGATTGACCGGTAAATCGAGAGCTTCGCCTTTCGGCTCAGCTCCCTCTTTACCACAACGGTCCGATACAGCGACCGCATCACTGCGCACGCTGCACCGATCCGCCTGTCAATCTCACGCTCCATCCTTCCCTCACTCGTGAACAAGACCCCGAGATACTTGAACTCCTCCACTTGAGGAAGGGCCTCTCCACCCACCTGAAGTTGAAATTAAATTGAGAAAACATTTTGAATGAAGTCATGGAAATCTACATGTACCGCCTTAAGAAGTCAAGCCGTCATTTGTCTTGATGTAAACAAGGAAACTGGAATCAATTAATCATTTATTAAACTTTTATTTATATAGCACAGTTCATACAGAATGCAACATATAGTAGTGCTTTACATTGGCAACAATTAAAACCAATTTAAAAACACAACAAAAGACAATTAAAAAAGAAGCAACTATATGTATATATCAATATTAAAATGATGATCCTTTGCCCAATCATGATTAGTCTTAGGCATGGCTAGAATTAATTGTTTTCAGTCTGAACTTGAATATAGCAAGTATTCATATTGGTATTCCTAATATTGTTTGTGTTATGGCCTTGTAGACAACTTTGATGCACTAAAACATTGTATACAACAAATATACCTGTTGCATGTCACTGTTTAACACTTATGAAAGTTTTGATTTGCTGCCGTTAAAAGGGTGCACTGTAGATACATTCACATCCAAGTCTAAAGGAGCATGCAGAATGTGAAAAGTCTACAAGGTGTTGCACAACTCAAGCTCCCATCACCAGTATTTATTGCTCACCACTGGGGAAAAAAAGTCGACCTTACCAGCCCTTCATCAGTGTGATCGCTTTTCACACGGTTTGACTGTTGCCTTGTGCGTACGCTGACCTTACACCCATCCCTCGCCCCAGTGGCAGCATTAGAATCGTAATAGAGACACTTACAGGAGATGTATGCCTCCAGATAAGTGACAATAATTAGAACTGCCTTGTGCATCTCTTGTGGCTCAGCGGCAACAGCAGGAGCAAATTAAAAAGTCCCAACCGTTTCATTGATCCGCTGTTCCGCTGAGGGCAGTTAAAACGCAGGGCTTATTTTTGCAGACATCTTTCTCTGTCGCCCTTACGCGCTCGGCCTGTGTCTCATTGTGTTCCACCTTTATTGCTAACAGACAGCGGCGGTGACAAAGTGGGCGTATTAAAAAGGCCATGATCGCAGTGGCAAAGAGATTATGTGTTTGTAAGAGAAACGAGGAAAGGATGGTAGCTTTAGATTCCCCTTAGAGTAGAGGGCACAGCAGAGCCAGCAGTAAATGTTTGATAGTGGTCTCTATTACACGGAGCTTTGTGTATCTCTGCTATTCTCTACTGGTGCCATGCATATTTCATGGCGTTATTATTCACCTCTTCTCTTGCTTTATTATGTATTATGCCATATGTAAATGTTCTTGTGAGTCTACAGAAATGATAGGCTCACAAAGCAGAACTATAGCAAGAAACATGTGGTACAAAATATGTGAATTCTTACCATTCTTTCTCTTGTGTTTCAAACTCAAAGCAAAGAACAAATCTTTCAGAGCCTTTCTTTTAGAAGTCAGAAAAGCTATTAACCTCCACTAAATGGGGAAAGCATATGCTTGTGGTAGCTGTCTTTGTCTCCCGTGGGGGGGATATTGTATTGAGAATGGGGAATAGTTGCTTTCATACAATGTGATCGCCGCACAACATTAGGTCACTAGAGACACAGATCTAATTTCAAATGTGTCCGCTGCACTAGACAGCATTGGCTATGTGATCATTTGTCAATAAGAAATCAAATATCAACACCAGCTTTTTATACAGGCCACAACTTTAATCACAACCATGCTAAATCAGACAATGAAAGCATGCCTGTCTTTGGTCAAAAAGATAAACCAATTAATTATACAGTGATCAAAAACATGGACAATATTCCCATTCGTACATTTTTAATCCTTAGACATCTTTCATTTCATTTCATTTCATTTCATAGAGGTTTGATGGTCAGAGGGTCTGGTGCACCAGGTGTTGGGCGTCTCGCTTCTGTCACCACCGTGTGTTGAGAAAATACACAGAATTGGAAGCAGTAATATAAGAGAGCTTGGTTTGTGAAATGTGCTATATAATAAAAGATGACTTACTTGCACTGTATGTGTATCACAGTAAAACTAACCTGCCTGTCTGTTGTCTTGTCTGTTACAGCTAGAGCAGATCCAGAAGCACACGTGGTACATGTGAGTATGCCTTTTGTCACTGTTTACACTCCCCTCTCCGCTCTGTCCTGTGCCTGATGCAGAGAGCTCCTGGTGATGAATGGCCTGGATCGGCGCAGTGCGTTTGAGGCATGACTCTGGGGGGCGTGGGGGTAAACTGCACCATGAAAGAGGGTGTGAAGTATAAGGTCAGATGAGCAGGGAGAGGTGGGGCAGGAGAATGCAAACGCTGGAGCTATGTAACCTTCTTGTGCTGATGTTTAACTTGGACAACAAGAAGTGACCCATAGTTTAGTGTTATCATTAATCATTGAACACTATTTTTAGTATAATGTCCTGTTGTGGGGAAATTAGTCCCAAGATATTATTTTGTTTATTTATCTGGGACATTAATTCTGGCAAAGGTTTTGCAAAGATAAGTTTCCAAGATCAGTTTGTACATGATCTACTGGATATTAGTATTAGTAAGAATCGTAAATCAGATTAGAATCATACAACTAATAATATTGGTTTTATATAGCACTTTTTTGGACACTCAAAAACACTTCTCATGACATTATTCATTCACTTCATACGCAGTGGTGATAAACTACTACTGTAACCGCAGCTGCCCTGGGGCAGACTGACTGCAAACCACTCACGCGCACACCAAACTCATTCTAGGCAATGTCGCAGCCGCCCCACTGTGGAAACTAGTGTACCCAGAGACCCAGGTCTCCCATCACAGTACAACCAGGACCGGTCCTGTTTAGCCTCAGAGGTCTGGTGGGATCTACATGCAGGTGGCGCCACTATGATCACTATGGTGTGTTTACAGAACATTCTTGTGTCTGATCATGTTTGTTTATTAACACTGTCCCAGTCAAATGAATAAATCGATAGATACTCATTTGAGCAAGTATAGATTAAATAATTATTCAATACATTATCTTCAGCTTTGATCAATGTTAAGCTGTTATTTTTTCTAGTATCAAAATCAAGTATGAAATATTTTGTGAAAATACAACTGTACTTCAAATATAGTGTGTGATCCGTATCTTCTGAATAGTTTAGTTTAAGTGTTTCCCCGTAGTGACTAAATCATCTGCCTCTTCACCTGTCGTTCAGCAGATGAATCATACAGAACAATATTCACCAAGTGTGTTCACCAAACAACACATCTGTCTAGTTTGATAACATCAGGGAGTATTTGCAATAGTGCTTTGCTTCAAGATGTACATGAAACTCCACAGAGGGAAATGAAATAGATGGGAGGGACAAGAGAAACAACAAAACATCAAATAGTTATTCATGTTGCATAAATTGTTCTGGTTCTGTTGTCTTTAAACCCCAAATGTGCTTTTTGAGAAATGCCCTGAATACAAGATCATGTTTAGAAAGTTTTTGTCTATATATCGCATCAACTTTTTTCCTTAAAACAACGGTCTTCATAACCATAAATGTCAGTCTTGCTCAGCCTTTGAGACATACTGTACGACACACGACAACTGTCCGGAATCCCAAAATGTTTTCCACCAGCACTCGATGTCATTCTATCATTTACATATGATCTATCACTGAAGTCCCAGCAGCTCACACACACCAGTGACTCATGGCAGACGAATGAAAGTCCAGTGAGAGAGTTGAGTTATAGTTTTGCGTTGTAAAATATCACGCAAACAGACAGCCAGACTTGATAAAAGAAAACGAGAGGAGACAAGCGCCATGAGAGGAAACTAATACGGTGCGAGTTTGGTCCCCTGGCTGTCTGTCTCAGTGATAGCCCAGAATGATTAAACATGCAATGGAACAAAGCAGCGCAATTTTACGTGAGCAGGTTTTCTGTTTGCTCATCTGGACGTTTGGGAGAAGTGTGGTGCTGAAAGGACAGCTCCTATTGACTTACATAGAAAAGTAAACTGCTTCAGCTTAGTAACTGTTCACCATTTTGATCTTATAATGTCTGTGTTAAAGCAGTCTCTGTGATCATTGTGTTTTCATGTTGACATTGTCTTTGTAACGGCATAAGGATACGATGCCTTAATTGTTTGCAGCATTTTAATTTTCATCTACCCCTGTTACGGCGCAAAGCTAAACCGGCCGGAACCCATATCAAGAAATTGGCTCCCGTTAGCTTATGTTCAATTCTCCTAATATACTGTCTATTTACACACGTACTCAAGTGATCGTGTCTTACCACAAATGATTATTTCCTATTTCCAACCTGGCAATCCATCATAATTGTGCTGAACATGATAACTTATTGTGATTTTTGTTTTGATACATATTTGGACATTAGTTCTAGTAAAGACATTAAGTAAAGGTCTAGGTTAAAAAGTTTTAGATGTGTCCTTTCTAAAGTTGCAGTATACTTCTGATTTAGACTGTTTCTTGCTTTGGTGCTTCCCGTTTGTGATCTGTGTCATATGATGTCTTGGTTTGCATCTAGGTCAGCAAAAATCTTGGCAAATCTAGTTACTATCATTAACAGAACATGGAAACATTCCCTTAAATGTAGCTGGCAAAAAAATCAAAATAGACTTCCTGTTTTATGTGTACTGTCTGTAGGGAAATATAAACACACTATTTTTTGTTGAATTGTGCAGTGACCTATAGGCGAGATGTAGGTCATATAATGCCTTTGGTTACCGTAGGGATTAGCCTATAGAAGTAAAGTCATGAAAGTTTTCAGTGCAGAGCCATTTGTTAAATCTGGTGACAGGCGCTTGAGAGAAAGAAAGTAGGTGAGGCAACTGTATTGAACAGCTTTATGGGAAATACATGATGGCAGCGTTAAAGCTGAAAATAGCAATACTGTATAATCCACATGGAAATGACACGAGGCATGACTCAGGCTGGCTTCTTGTTGACCTAAAATGACATCATGTTTGACTGGGAATGTGCAAAAAAGTAAGTTGACAGCTGAACATGTTTTGTCAGCTGTTGCACATTTGTATCAAAATGACTGAATAGAATTGATGGAACACAAATATTATGGGTTCTTGAAGGATTTATATTTTTGACTAAACCTGCTTGTAATGAGACAGCTGTGATCTTGTCACTGGTTGTGGTGCCACCTGCATATGAAAGCCAGATCCTCTCAAACCTTTGAAGCTCAGCAGGGCTGAGCCTGGTTAGTGCTGCGGTGGGAGAATTATTGGAACTCCAGGTGCCACAGTAGGGCAGATGTGGCTGCAAAGTGCCAAACTATTGTTGTGTCCTTTGTTAAGACACTTCAACCAAATTGGTTTATATGAGTCTGGTGTGTCCATGAATGATTGGGTGGATTTCTGATGGCACATACTGCTCTGTCCCAGGGCAGCTGTGGCTACAGGAGCTTATCACCACTGTGTATGAATTAAATTAAAAATGCCATGTGAAGCGTACAAAACGCTGTACAAAACGAATGCATTATTATAAATAGTATTATTATTATTTAGCATAAACACAAAAGAGATTACAGTCAGTGCACATTACTAAGAGTTGTTTTTCTTTTTCTTGATGCATTGAACTATAAGCTACACAGCAAACATATATTATTTCACAGAGCTGTTTCATTATAAACAAGGTGCTAAATATTAATGCTGTGCATATGTGCAAAGTGCAAACATTGTAAATGGTAGTCCTTAGGCTGTGTGTGTTGCATTTTGTATATTTTCCAACTGTTACATTCAGTTTAGTGTGTCATTGAGGTAAATAAAAGTATACATTACTTGCTTAAAAGCTTCCCAAAATAAATAGAGAAAAAAAATCCTATCTACAAATCGCAGGCCTAGGAGGAGTGTCTTAAAGTGTCTTTTTGGTCTTGTTCTTGAGTTAGGGAAGGATGGAGTGTGATATTGACAGACGGATCAATGCATCGTGTGCAGTGATGCGGCCGCTGTATAAGACTGTTGTGGTGAAGAGGGAGCTGAGTCCAAAAACAAAGCTCACTTCATGACCAAAATGACAAAGATCACGGCGGATGTTCCCTCCACACACAGGGTGGCTGTAGACTCCCTTATATGGAGATATGGAGACGAGCTCAGAGTAGAGTCAATGCTCCCCCATGTGGGAAATGTGGGAGTCATTGTCCAGATGTATTATTAGTAGGGCTGTCAAAATTATCGCGTTAACGCACGTTAATTCATTTTTTTCATTAATCGCGTAAAATAAATTAACGCATTTGACGCATGCCCATGCATCCCATAATAACACTCAGAATGCCGCGGACACACGCGTGTGTAAGATGGCGACAGAGCAGGTAGGCCCTCTGGGAATTCAAGTTTTGAAAGAATACACGCGTGAACTCTGCATGATGAGCTGCGGGCGCGACAGCGCTCTGGACAGTTCCCACTTCCAGCGGCTGTGATCACGGCGGACGGCGCTGCGTAATGGGATCATATCCAAAACCACGCACAGAACCCTTCTCTAGTGTGCGTACGTGTCTTTGCGTAACCGATGCACACAATATGTACAGCGCTGAAGCTGGACTGCGGAGCTCTCCTCCGTGTCTTCTCCCTAAGCGCACTCGCTAAATTAAAGCTGAGGTACCTCATTTTCCTTTCGACCATCAGTTCATGTTAGTTGTGCCAAAAAAAGTAATGGTGTGAGCAAATCAAACAGATTTAATGACATTCTGCATTTCAGACTATTTTGAAATGTCCCTCATCTGTAACAAACAATGGTTTTGGTCTGAGTCTAAACAGAAAGACAGAATGTTAATAATGTTAATTCCATTTTATATGGATTTATTGTTATAACAAACAAATACAGTACATATGTTCACTAAGCTGTCATTTATCTTTCCATTCAAACAACCATTTACAGAAAAATATGGCATAATTTTGCCAATAGTTTGAATTGCGATTAATTACGATTAATACATTTTTAGGCTGTAAATTTTTTTTTAAATCGTTTGACAGCCCTAATTATTAGGTATGATTCATTCTGCCCCTGAGCAGCAGAAGAGAAGACAATAACAATGAATTTTTGAATGTGATAAAAAGTATATGTATTTGCGTATTTGACCTTGTAGTGACCCACCGGCTGGCCACTCAGCATGGCACTGTTACTTTCCATCACAGGGGTCTCTAAGATGCTATAGGGTCAATTGTTTAGAAGATTTCCTCTACTGTGGGACCCCCGAACCAGAAAATCACGATAATAAAAACCAACAAAGTAATAGATCCCACAACGGACACAAACATGATCAGAAATTAAGGTACCATGCTACAAACTCTAAAAGTCACTGGGTCACCACAAATACGCAAAAATGTACACTTTTTTCACATAAAAAGTTGCATAATGCCCTTTTAAGAACTGCTGTGGTAGTAAGAGGGAATGGAAAGATGTGTCCTATCTATTGTATATCTATGACCTATTCCTATATATTTCTATGTCTTCATCATACTATAAAAAGGTCTTGTTCTTTTAGACAACAAGATATGTTATGCTCTTTTCCGTATCAGCACTTTATCACACCCTGTTTTAAGGTTATAATATGGTACAATCTTCACGCTGTGCATGTATTAGCAATCTGCTGACACCGCTTTTTTATTTTTGTTCCCAGAGGGGGCAAGAACGAGCCAGAGCCGGAGCAGCCCGTGCCCAGAAAAGTGACCATCCGGAGCCTCCCGTCGTCGGAGGACATCGACCCGGACGTCCTGGACAGCATGCACTCTCTGGGCTGCTTCAGGGACAAAAACAAACTGCTCAAAGACCTGCTCTCTGACAAGTGAGTTATGGGAACCGGGAGAGCCAGAGAAAATGCAGATAGGAAGGGGAATTATACAGGTGCGCACAGATGAAAGGGTAAGGTGATGAAATACGGAAGCGAGAAGGCGATAAGAAGAATATCCTGAGACGGAGATCTGTGTGGAGTCGTTTGTGTTTTAGCCTGGCTTTTATGAAACCCACTGTGCCTGTCAGTTTCCATGACACAAGCCATACATCACTTAGGTGTTATCACAAAGCACTTACAGGTCTCCACACTTGATCCTAGTGCCCAAACACAGGAATGGTTGCACCACAGAGGATACTTGGATTCTGGCTTAGCGTTGTATATACCTTACTGTTTAGGCAAAATTAAAAGAAAAAATTACATTTTGTGTGGTTAATTTACTTTACTCTGGGGTACATTTATCAGGCTCTCACTAAATTCTTGGCCCGTCCAGACAAAAAGAGTAATTTCTTGTGATTAAGAGTCACACTCAGGTTAACATTAGGGAAAGAAACAGTTCATTCGGTTAAGGTTAATTTAGAACACAATGTTGCTGAAGCAAAGACACAGCATTTACTGTACATATCAAGAAAATCTCAAATTGTTAAAATAGATAAACAAATAGCCATGCATTCTCCCAATAATTAAATTACAAAACACAAATAAACATTTCATTGCATAAGGATAAGGTAAGGATTGGCTAGCTTACTTTGGGACAAAATATTGAACTCCATATTTGATGAACTGCATGTGCAATTTTAGTGATTTCTTTCAACATATGCTTGATAATTCAGTTTTCTCCGATCTTATGGGGTGCTAATCACATTTGCACACACTCAAGCCCTTGATAGATACCCCCTTTTGTATATAGATCAGGGTGACAATACATCAATGGTGAAAGATCATGCAGTTGCATGTTACCCCGGGTGCACACCGGGGTAGTCTTGCACAGTTTTTCCAATGTGGTTTTACTGCAAATGGCAAATAAATGAATCTTAATCTGAATCTGATCTGAAGTTGTTGTGTATAAGTATGGGCCAATTCGTAAACAAGAAACATATATGTATTTTAATAATAAGAAATAATCCTCTCTGTTATATACATGTACAAAAAGATCTGTTTTTTTCTAACCTGGAATTTGAACATAGTTGAGGCCTCTTTGACAATTTCAGGTAGACATACTAAAGTGAGTGTGTAGTTTAGTGATCATTGGACCTAAAATAATCATTCTGCTTGATAGGAGAGGTAGTGATGTAAATTAAACATGCAAATCAGCTATGACTCACATGTTTGCATTCCCTTTGGCTGTGTTGAGATGTTTTTTTAATATAAAGTCTATGAAGTCTCACTGGACAAGTAGAAGGCAGAGTTCATGAACGCTGAGTTAATCATAGAGGTGAGAAAATTAAAAAAGGTAAATTTGGATCTCCCCCAAAACAAGCCCTGATTGGTGGTTGGATTTCTACTCTTAGCTTTTTTACTTTTGCCCTGAAATGTTTCACTGCTAAACTGAGTGGCTGTAAATACATTTTACTTTTCTTTTATCCTGTGTTAGTTCTCTTTCCTTAAAGCTGGGGTACATCATTTTCAAACTATAAAGTGTCACATCTTTAGATAACCACAGCAAAGTGAAAAGGAGAGAACCAGCTTCAGCCAATCAGGTCTTAGCCACCCCAAAGAGTCAAATAATGATTCACAGGGCTCTTTCTTAGTAGCATGCAAAAGACAACATATTTTCTAATTAGATGAAGACAGCATAATGTCTCGGGACGAACTATAGCTGTCATTTATGTGAAAAAGAGGTTAAGCACCCAAGCTTTAAAACGGTTGTACTGTATATCCCCCTGTGCATTAAACACGTTATTCACGTCTGGTTAGCGTCCTAGCTGCTATTAGAGCATTTAACATAACCACATCCTCCTCTATTTAATCCTAAGTGCTGTTCCTTGCCCACTCCGCCCTCTAGCTGTGTCTACCGCTGCTTTTCTCCCCTGGGAGCGGCTACTTAATCGCGCTGGATGAGGGGAAATCTTCACGGGCTTTCGCTGCTTGATTTTAGCTGAAGTTGCAGGTCCTTGTCTTTTTGCCTCCTACTGCTCTCCAATCTGTCTTTAACACAGCCAACCCCACTTTCCTCTGGCTCATGCAAATGAATGGCCTGCGGGTTTGGAGATGTTAAGCCACTCAATTAGACGGAAAAAGAATCCCGAAATATTTTGACAGGATTTTTCTGCATAGCTTCGCAGAGATTCTAATTACATTGTTTAGTATGTTGGCTTTATGATGTGGACTTAATGATTATGTGATTAGCTAATTCTCTGGAAATAAATCATGCTTTTTTATCACAACCGTACTCATATTCATGGAAAATCGGAAGTTAATAAAAAGTTATTTTGGTGCATCACTTGTAATCACATAACAAAATAAAACAAAGAAAAACTCCTCCACTTTCCCCAAATCGCATGCTGCTACTGTACATATTTTAACTTCAGTAAACGATAATATGAGAACATCAAAAAAATAACTGTAAATGTCAATGTCAACTTTATTTATATAGCACATTTACAACAACACCAGCTGCCCAAAGTGCTTCACAGGCACGAATGATAAAAATAAAAATAAAACAGTATAAAATACATACACATACATGTAAAAGTAAAGTGGTAAAACCTCAATTGGTGTTAAAAGCCAAGGTGTAAAAATGTGTCTTTAAACTAGACTTAAAAACTTCCAATAAATGGCTGTAAATATACATGTATAAGTATATTTTATTGCAGAAAAACTTGAAATAAGTCCACCCAGTGCTTATTTTTTGCTCTTTTCTCCCAGTGACAACCAGGAAAAGATGATCTACTTCCTGCTGCTGGACCGAAAAGAGAGGTATCCCAGTCAGGAAGACCAGAATCTGCCTCCACGCAATGAAGTTGGTAAGAAAAACACAACAATATTATCATTTTTAGATATATATTATTTATATTGGTGCCTGACAGGATCGTAAGCTTTGTGCTTTTTGGAAATAGAAACTTGTCACTGAATATCTTGACTATAACCGAGTTGCAGAGTTGTTCTTTTTAAAGTCTCAAAATAAAAATCCTTATCACTCAGCTGAAAAAATCCCCTCTATTTCCCAGGCAAAGCTGTCGATGATGGAGTGATGCTAAACTTGCTCTTGTCTTATTTTTTTTACTGTCAGTGTCTGCATGCTCCCGTAGTGACATTTTGATGAATAGACTCCCTCCTGAGTGAACGCACCACTGTCAATGCATCGGCCATTAGTTCAAGGTCTGAAAGCGTCTGCTACTCAGTATTAGTTAAATGTCATTGCCACTGGGGCTAAACATCCCACACACATCTGCAGAAGAGTTGTGTGATGAGTCCACGTCGTAATTTCTTCAGGACGGTTCCATAAAAGCCTCATCTGACGACCTTTGAAAACTTTCCTCTTGTCACTAACTTTAGTTTACTTGAGTTTTTAAATAAAACAATTTTTTGTAGATCCTCCAAAGAAAAGAGTGGACAGTCCCATGTTGAACCGCCACGGGAAGAGGAGACCGGAGAGGAAGTCTATGGAGGTTCTGAGCGTGACAGATGGGGGCTCGCCTGTTCCTGCCAGGAGGGCCATTGACATGACTCAGCATGGACAGAGGTGGGCCAACTCATTCTCAGTGGAATTGGACCTTGAATAAAACTCTGACAAGGCTTATTGCATCTCAATCACAAGTTACAGTCCGGAAATTATATATTCTTTGTCAATCATTTAGACCATGAGTTGCATAATATGAGCAAAATCGGAAAGTTTTCTTGAGGTGGGCACAGTTGATATAGGCAAGTTTTATAAATATTCACACAGAGCACTTGAAAGAGGCAAGAAAGTGCAGAATATAGTTAGATAGATTATAAAGTTGGGGTACGTAACTTTCAAACCACAAAATAATATAATATGTAATCACATCTAGCTATCACTCCAAAAAAACAGTTTTGTTCTACCACAAGTTTATATCTGAATGTGTTTCTGCCAAAAAAGTTAAGTACCCACAGCTTTAAGTTAACTTTTCAGATAGATATGGTATAATTGCATGAAGTAATATTATTAAATGGAAGAGCCAATGGGCACTCAGTCCTAGTGTTCTTGAGCAAGACACTGCACCCATCCTTTTTTCACATGAGGCCATTTTCACAGACAGAAATCCTCTTTTGTCTGTGGGTTTTGACTTAGAAGTATAAGTAAGATCAGAAATACTGTCATCCAAAGACCCACCTCTCTCCTGCAAAGTGTTACGCCACATCTCCAAAGGCCTTGCTCATCTTCGCTTTTACTCAACACTTTTACAGCCTGATTTACTGAAACTGGTTTAAGCACTTTGACATTCTGCCCGCTCTGTCTCTCTGTAGTAAATCAGTGTACAGTAAAAGCCTGGAGATTCCCGAGGCCAATTCAAAACGCAGCAAAGAAGAAAGGTATTGACGAAGTGCTCCCTCCCGTAGCTTTAGAGGCGGTACTGTGGAATGATGCATGGGTCCTTTTATTCTTGTGAGAAATACTTTGGAAGATTTCGACGCTTTTAATTGGCTTCGTTTTCAAAGTGGGAGAAGTTTTACGTTCATCGCAACTCAAGACTACAAGCTCTTTGCCATTTCTATCTCCCCCATTTACTTCCTTCACAATCTTAATGCATTGATTCTCAGCTTCATACCCCACTTTACTCATGCACATATAGCACTATTAGATACAAAAAAGGAAAAAATATCAACCACATGCCTCACGTTAGAGGAGGCGATTCTAAAATCTATTTCTCCATCTCGCTACGACAACCAATATATATCATGGCGAGGTGCGTTTTGAGCTGAGAGGTGCTGACATTTGTGACAGCGGGGGAGATTGAATCGCACGGAGGTGATGGTCTGATCTCCCTAACGATAGGCAGAGTGGCAGAGAGCTGGAGCTGCCTCACATCTGGGAAACATAAATGTAGAATCAGCGAGAAGAACATACGGTTAACTACAGTACAGTCATGGAGAGCGATTTAAATGGCAGAGAAAGAGCTTTCCCTGGCAACAGACAGTAATATACTCCAATTTACACAGTAACAAATGCAGCTCTAATTTTCTATTTATCAACTAAATTTTTATTTAACCAGGAAAGTCCCATTGAGATTAAGAACCTCTTTTTCAAGGGAGTCCTGTACAAGAGGCAGCAAAAGTTACACACAGTTACGTACAATTATGTAATAAAAACAGTTACATGAGGTTCTCAAGTGGTCTCAATCTTGACTTAAAAGCGTTCAATGAAATAAGCATTCAATTAAATAAGACTTAATTGCTATGACGATGAATGAATGAGCATTTCTTACAGAACTGCAACATTGCATTTAAAAGTGCAAACTACAGGAGACAAATACATGTGTTTTACCAGCACACCACACAAAAATTTAGATACAATGGTCCCTCACTCTAACGCAGTTCACCTTTCCAACGCACTTCTCATACGTGTATACTCCAACAACATAATTTACCTGCTAGTATAACATGACAGTTACCTTATTCAGGGAAACCATTTGTGGCTTGTGCGCACTACAGTGATTAGTTCAGAGGACTACAGTGGTCTTCCTGTAGCCCTCAGTCCTGCTCCTACCCCTCAGCGCTGTGGCCTCTGCAGCTGTTTACAGTGTATGCGCGGCTGTTGACAGCTGCAGCAGTGCTCAGACCTACAACAAACAGGATTGATATCTCTGCAATCGCACTTCAGCAGTTGTGAGTTTAGGAGGTTAGAAAAGAGTGTAAAGTGTGGGGTGAGGGGTTTTACAGACTTAAAGCATGTAGCTGCTACTTCACAGCTTTTGCTTCTTGCAGGTTATTTTTAGAACATATCCCCCGCAATAACTGAGGGACCACTGTATACATTGTTTTCTTTCCCCACTATAGAGAATATTTTGCCTCAATACTTTTGCGACCATATCAACTATGCATCTTGCATATTTGTATTTCAAAAAATGCATAGTTTCCATTATCAAGGACTTGTTCTTGAGTGAACAGAGCACATAATAGTCTTGTCGAGGCTGGTGTTTTAGAAAGTAGAGAATAAATGAAAAGGCAGCCGTTGCCCTTGGTGAAGATGAATGGCTTTCGTGTCTCCATCGGTCTGTCTCAGGGTAACTTTGACTTCAATACTACTATATTTTTTAACATCAAACCTCAGGAGTATCCGAATCTATTCAAAGATTAAATCACATTGATTATTCAGTTGAACCAGGGTCTGTTTCAGATCTTAAGATTTTCACTCTCCTCAGGTCCAAACAGTCTAATCTCTTTTTGTGAACTAGAGGGCCAGATCCTCTCCTCTGCACCTCCATCTTATCGAATAGTACAGTAGCTATCTTATAAAGCACATCACAATATACATAGCTCAAATCTCAGGTGACCTTTAGACCATCTTTATCAATCTCAATGAGGGCAAATGGGAAAGTTATTCCAAAGGACCCCTGCATCTCTCCTCAGTGCTATTTTGAATCTGTGTATGTTTATTGCTCACCGCAGTGCAAGTGCGTAGACGAAATCCCTATCATTACGTGCCTTTGCCTTTCTATTTTGTGGTACCCCATGTGCAGCTGACCTTCAGTCCCTCACGGCCCCCCAACTAGTGTGAAATTGCTATGCTAATCTAGAGATGCTGCTAGTTTTTCTTGTAGACAGCAAATCTGTAAGCTGTGTTTGATTCATATTCCCTACTAAAATGCACCTCTAGCCTCTCTAACAATATCTAATACATCTATAGAGGTCTCATACCCAACATTTTCTGTAACTTTTTCCCCCATCTTCTGCTGCCCGTAGCCTGAATCTCTTATCTCTCCTCTGTAGAAAACTTTTGTTGACAGGGCTGGACACATTTTGAACTTGAGATCAGAGTGTGTCAGGGAGTGCACTGTCTTCGAAACACTTTTGACAGAACACTTTTCCAAACGTGTGAATGGAAATGGAATCTGGAATTGGCTTGAGCGTTTTGATCTTTCCACTGACGGCGCGACTGGCTCAATGTACATTCTCATTTAAAGACTGTACTGTATGATGGTTTGTATGTGTTTGTGTGTGTCTGTGCGTGTGTGTGCGTGTCAAAAAAGAAGAGAATGAAATACCCTTTAATGAACATGTAAGTTGGCTGTAATATATGTCACATAAATATTGCTTTTGAGCTTCATCTTACTAATTCAAACCATCGTAATGTTCAAACTTAGCCAGAAAATACATTCACAAAACTCACAGGCAATAAATAGTTTTGGTTTAAAGGCAGACAACAGTTCTGTCTGTTTTTTTTTATAGCATTATACATGTCGCTAGATAGGTAAAGGAAGGACCCAAAACTTAATAATCCAAAATAATATGATTTAATGATGAATGATGAATTATATGGCAAAAAGTAAAAACAAACTGAAAAATACAAATGCAACACGGGAACCAGGAGAACAACAGACATAGACAAAGGACCAGCAACAAACGGGGCTGAGCACAGGGTACATATAGACACAGGTGAAACCATAGAGGTGCAACAGTTTAGGGAGGGGCAGATAACTTATTTTGGACCAGGGAAGACCGGTCCTTCCAGGCTGTTGCGCCCAAGCTCTGGAACAATCTTCTCTGCGGCTGATGGAGTCGTTTGATTCATTCAAAGGTCAGCTAAAAACGTATTAATTTGGGCAACCTTTACCATAATGTTCTTGCGGCTGTTTCAAATCTGTCACTGATTTGTCTTTGCCGTTATATTTTTATTTTTTGTACGCACATTTTAAATTGTATTTTGTCTGTTTTAACTGTGAAGCGCTTTGTGGCCTTGGTCTGTGAAAGGCTCTGTATAAATAAAGCTTACTTACTTACTTAGGTGAACAAGACAGGAAGTAAAACTAAAAATGAAACAAAAGTAGTACCAAAGTACATAGAACCAAATAACAATAGTACCAAATAAAAGACATACATATCATGATAATACATCTGAAAAACATGCTTTGATAGATATACATTAGTGATTATAGAATGGCAAAAAACTATAAACAACTCTTAAAACATGCTAAAAATGTCAAAGGAATACATGAAAAGTCAATGCCACTTTTAAAGACCTTATGACGGGTTTGATTTATTTAGAAATACAGTTTTAATACCATTTTATATTAGAAGAGAACTACTAAAGGTTTCAAAATCAGTTGTTGTTTTTTTGTCTGATCCCCCCAAATCGAAATAACCCCATAGCAACGCCCTTAGAGACGAAAAAGCCCTTGGTGACGTCAGAGTGGGTACGTTTCAACGCTGTAAGTTGTTTACAATTTGGTATTCGTTCTTTTTTCGCGGATATTCAAGATGACAAGGCCGTGTACAGCGAGTCTGACATAAATACTAGATTGTAACTTTTCATTGGCACTGAGATAGTCCAGTGGTTGTGTGGATGGACTACCAATCCAGATACTGAGGTTCAAATCCCACCTCAGACACTTTTTCATTCTCAAACGGCAATTTATGTGTAGTGAGCAATTGTCACCTGTAGAGTGCAGTATTGTGTTGGGCATCAGTGGAGAGAAGAGAGAAAAGGCAGTTCTGTGGCATAGATCCATGGTTTTCAATTTATGGGCGTTACACACTATGACGTCACACACAGGTTAGAGCATAGACAGCTTAAATTCATGAAAAACACGTTCTTTTTATAAAATATAGGATTTTTTTTGCCGGAATCTCTTTCAGATTGACATTGTCATGCAATTTTGATATCCACATTTTTTTTTTTTTAAACCCGGCATAAGGTCTTTAAAACAAAACGTGACAGAGACACTGCTCCATTAACCTAACATCGCCGCGGGAAATCCATTGTGTTCTTTGGTTTAGGCTTTTGCATGTTCAGTGTTTGACTCCTGGCAGCACATCTCCTCTCTGTCATGTTTATTTTATTCTAGTCCACATCCTCGGAAACCTCCTGTATCAGATACATCCCCTACAGCTCCAAACACCAGACCCCCGCTGCGTCTCCCAACACTTCTGACCATACACAGTGTTAGCCCGATAAACAATGGATAATGGAGCAAGGAGTGGAGATGCTTTCTTCATTCAATCTACTGTATACACGCACACACACACACACACATACGTGTTTTTATTACACGGTGGGGACCAGTTTTTTAAGTTGTCTAGAACATGCATGGTGAGGACCTCACTTTAAACAATAATTAATTGCTCATTTTAACTCATAAAAAATTGGCTTTAAGACAGAATTGCAGGGGGGGGCGTGGCCCCTCTGATATCACCTCAAGTCCCAAAATCTTCATTTTTTTCTTTTGTCTGGACTTTCTATCCCCATGGGGACTAACAATTATGTAGTACCAAAAACCACCATCAGGTGTCACTATAAGATTTTTTTTTTATTATTATTTTTATATTGTCTCAAACTTGCCTCCTAGGAACTTCATGCATTTTACTTGTTACTTTGGTGTATTCCTTTGACATGAAAGATTAGGAGAATATTGTAGACTTGTGTTGTAAGTAAATCACTGGTTAATTGTGCAATTTATTAGCCCAGATTATGAAAGTTTATAATAAAACATTTATTTTTTAACATGACGAATACTGCAGACACAAAAGTGAATGCATTTTTCAAATAACAAAATAAAATGATTCAAACAATAAAAGATACTGAAAGAACAGATGTCTTAACAAAATAAAATGACTGTATTTAAACAATTTAAATTTTTCATTTTGAAGACTCTCTCTTTAGAGCATCGATACGGTTTTTTACATAGAACTTCACTCCCTCCCATGTTCTCCCTTTAAGAGCGGTCTGTGAAGCGTTAATACACTCCAGACACTGGGCTTTCCCGGGAACCTTTAGGGTCCTGATGCAGTCCATGAGGGTTTTCTCCACAGCCTGGATTTCTTCCTCAGTCCACTTCCTCTTTTTGACAACAACCTTTCCTAAAACATATA